TGAGAATTCTAAGCTTCGGGAATTCGGAAAATTTGGGACTCCGAGCTTCAGGAATTCGGACAATTTGGGACTCCGAGCTTCAGGAATTCGGAAAATTTGGGACTCCGAACTTCAGGAATTCGGAAAATTTGGGACTCTGAGCTTCTGGAATTCGGAAAATTTGGGACTTTGAGCTTTGAGAATTCGGACAATTTGGGACTCCAGGCATTGAAAACCCCCAAAATTCGGAAAATTGAAAATTCCAAGTTCCCTAGATTCCAAAATCTAAAAATCCCAAATCTCGAGAATTCCAAAACTCCGATCCTGGAAAACTCAAAAATTTCAAAAACCGAACGTATCTCGAAACTCTCGAAATCCCTAAAAAATTCTCACCTAAGAAAAGAGCCGCATAACTTCCGCCTCCTTCGACCGGACGGCGGCAATTTCATCGCGCCTCCGTTTCTCTCCTATGAATTTATATTCAGCGATCGCGGGGAACGCCATAAATCCGCGGGGACTTGGACAAATTGGACAGTGACACGCGAGAAGATAACGGAGGAACGCCGAGCGTCGAAGAAGCGCGTTGTGCTGGCAATTAGCCGGCGAATGAATCGCGCGTTGACGAACCGATTAAGTGTATCTTTGTCCTGTACGCCAGTCAGACCGATCATCAAACGTTCCCTTTCCTGTGCGTCGTTCTGTTTCGCCAGCAACAGCGACACTTGCTCCAATATCGATCCCGCCTCGTCGTTCGATAACGACACCAGGCCTACCTCGTTCGAAACGTTTATTACCGTGAATAGGGAAAAAACTGAGCAACGCGAGATGGAAAATATTTACCGAGATACACTCCTCACCGAACGAATAGACGATGGAACGAACATCGGCAGGCAACGTTCGCGTACCGCCATTCCCCGTGAGAAAATCCCGCAGCTTCCTTCCGGCCGCCTCGAGGCAACCCCGATGGCCGACGCTGCAAGCTCCGTTCAATATCAATACGTGAAATTCTCTTGAAACGAACGGAAACAGGACTTTTCTTAATGGATACTCTCGAGAGCGAGTGAAAAGATTGAAAAGATCAACTGACTCTTTGACTTATTCTTTCTCGAACGTTCCTGGCTTTTATCATCGAAGAGCAAACGAAAAGGTAGTTAAGTGATTGCTACTCTTTTTAGAGGAATATTACAAGTGTAAATTTTGTTCCTTAGGTATGTGCTTTTTTATTATTTTGAAAATTTGGAGGTATTTTTTGGTAGGATTGTTGAGCTTAGACTTACCTAGTGGAGAACGTGTCTTTCTCGTATACGCGCCATCCGATTTCGTGGTAAAGCTTGTCGATTAGGCTCCTCGCGTATGACTTTGTGACGTAAGAAAAATATTTAAAAAATTGTCGGTGATTGTAGGGCTTCTGTGATTACCTGAAAACGATTTAATATCGCGGTTTTACTGAGCAATCTGTTCATTTGGCCGAACCATTCTGTAGCCACTGCCCACGGTTGATAATCTTCTTCGTTTGTCAAGTAGGAAGTTAAATTCATGACTATGGAGTAATCTAAGTTGGTTTCTGCTAAGAGAAAAGCGTCGTGCAATAAATCTGCTCGATTTGTTGCGCTTAATACCTGTAATTGTTTCGAAGGAAAAGTTGTTAGAATTTAATATCGATGAATTTGATATTTGTGATTTCTGTACTTTGTGATCCTTGAATAGCAAATTGCTGAACGTGTCCCAAGCATCTTTCGTGTAATTCACAATGTAGTATCCGATCGAGTTGTGATTCAATTTGATCCAGTCTACCGAATTTTCCAGGGATAATTCCACTGCAATTCGCAGCTCAGGTTAAAATTGGGGAAATGTTGGAATTTTCGTAAGCGTGCCGTCATTACCGCATGAAAAATTCGCGAGGAACCAGTCCAGCCTAACGCCGTCCCCTCTGCTGGTTATGTACCTTATGGGAATTGTCCAACTCCCGTCGCTATAAAAGAAAATTACATTCCGTCAGATGCTGGCTGTTTTGCATTTTTTCTCTTTTTATTGGATCATCGTGTGACAGCAGTTCGAAGATTCCGCGAGGGATGAGTGTGTTTCGAAAAACTCAGGGTTCCCAATTTTCCGAATTTTCAACTTTTGGATTTCTTAAAGCTTAGAGTTCCAAGTTTTCCGAATTTTCAAGTCTTCGAGCTTTCAAAGTTTAGAATTTCCGAATATTGAAATTTCAATTTTCCCAATTCTCAGAGCTTCGAACTCCGAATTTTCCGAGTTACTGAAGTTTAGAACTTTCAATTCTTGGAATTCTCGAAGCTTAGAATTTCCGAAGTTTAGAATTCTTAATTTTTGGATTTCTCAATGCTTAGAGTTCCAAACTTTCCGAATTTTCAATTCTTCGAGCTGCCAAAGTTTAGAATTTCACGTTTTACGAATTTCAGAATATTGAAGTTTCAATTGTTCCAATTCTGAGATCGTCGAACTCCGAATTTTCCGAGTTACTGAAGTTTAGATCTTTCAATTCTTGGAATTCTCGAAGCTTAGAATACGCGAAGTGTAGAATTTACAATCGCTGGAGTTTCCAAAGCTTAGAGTTCCAAATTATCCGAATTTTCAATTCTTCAAGCTCCCAAAGTTTAGAATTCCAAATGTTCCGAATTTCAGAATATTGAAATTTTCAATTTCCCCAATTCTCACAGCTCAGAACTCCCGATTTTCCGAATTCCTCAAGATTAGAACCTTCAATTCTTCAAATTCTCAAAGCTTAGAATTCCCAAAGTTTAGAATTCTCAATCCTCGGAGTTTCCAAAGCATAGCGTTCCAAATTTTCCCCTCATTTCCCTCTTAAATTTCTTTTTCACTCTCCGTACACTTACTCGATCGTTTCCTGGAATCGTTTGCTCGTCGCGAAACGCTGTCGAAAGAGTCGAAACCCCTTCGTGTCTCGATGGACGTTGATCAGAGGAAATCCAGGGAACTTGATCCATCGAAAGACGAAATCGACAATGTCGACGACGGCGCGTGTCTCGTTTCCCAAGATCTCGAACAGCTCGCGAGATTCCGCATTGCGAAATTGGTACTTTCGCAAGTAGTTCCGGATGCTGCGAATGAACTTGGAATTGCCAACCGTATCCTCTAACATTCGGATCACTGCAGCTGCCTAAGGTATTCAAACAATTAACTATCCTAACGTATCAGCCTTTGCTTCTATTCTTTCTCTATATATTTTCAAACTAACCTAACCTATTATTTTTCAAATTTCAATTTTCAAGATATTTCAAAAAAATAATAATTTCTTCAAAAGTACTGCAATATTTTAACTAAGGATTACAAAACAAGTTAACCCTTTCATGCCCAGTGGAATTCACATTATTCCACCATTAATACTCGCAGTCAGTGAGAGGTATACGTCCCATTTGAGTTCTCGAACAAAAATTAACCTGACTTTAGTGTCCATTATGATAAATAAAAATTTAAAAAATTCTTAAGAAACCATAATTCAGTCACGAAAGGGATAAATCCCCCAACCCTTTCCTCCTTAGAAGTAAAGAAGATTATTGAAGAAAAGGATAGACGAATCTTTACTAACGACACGTTAATTAATTCGACACACTTTCTGATACGAAATCCTATCGAACATCTCCTCGATCTCCTCCGAGTTCTCGATACGTTTAACAACAGCCCGAGCACGTAGTTTGCTGTCGTGTTTCATGGCGACGTATTTCGTGTACAAAGGAAAGGAGTCCATCTGGTATAGAGAAAAAAAAAGAAGGAAACAATATAAAAAGTTACGGAGTGATCGCATTGTATCCACGAAGAACAATCGATCGGCGGGCTATAACACTGATTGACCAGATTCCAATCTGGAAACAATGAATCGACAGCCACGTGCTCCATGTAAGTGGCGAATCCCTCGTTCAACCAGAGATCGTTCCACCATTTCATGGTTACCAGATTGCCGAACCACATGTGTGCCAGTTCATGGGCCACAGTCAAGCTGACGCTTTTCATATTGTAGCAAGAACTGTCGTTCTCGGTGTGAAGAAGCTCTGTCTCGCGGAACGTAACCATACCCCAATTCTCCATTGCTCCGGCCGTGAAATCGGGCACGGCTATCAAATCTGCGATGGAAATTTTTTTAGAATTTGAAATTTTTCTCACCGGAAATCGTCGAATTTACCGAGTTTCGGCAGAGGATAATCGATCTGGAACACGTTTAAATAGTATTCCATCGCCCCGATCGCTACGTTCAATGCGAACTTCACTTTATGGCTGTACATCGGTCTCGCGCAAACGGAAACTGGAATTTTACTTCCGTTTAACAGATCCACGTGAGTTCCTGTGCAGTGGAAATCGCTGACCAGAAAGGCAACCAGATACGTCGACATTGGGGGCGAAGGATTGAAGTACGCGATTGTTTTGTCACTGTTGTCTTTCATTGTCTCGGTTTTCTATGGAGAAATAACTTGGAGCAATTTTTCGATGGAGAAATATTTTGGAAAATTTTAGGTTTTGTATTAGCACATTGTTTATGAGAGACGCGAATTTATTTCTTTTAGTTTTCAAGCGTTGGTAACGAGGGACATGGATCGACGAGTAAAGAATTAAAAAGAAAAAAGGAGGAAAAGTGTTAATAAATTTTTGACACTCTTTTCAATATACTCGTGCAATTATTGCTTACTCGGGCTATATGCGTGTGATAATATATCGTCAACAATGTGTTAGTATAAAATTTTAACGTGTTTCTTAAATATTTTTCAAAAATTTTGCAAACGTACCGCAATTGGCATATTCGACTGAGCGTGGTATAAGAATTTCTTCGAATAGACTATCCGAACGACGAAGATGGCTTTGAAGTTTGGCTCGTCGAAGCATGGAAACGCGGTTCTCGCGTAAAATGGCTCGAATTGTGACACTGCTAATTTTCTGCACAGCAAACATCATTTCCACGATATTGATTTTTCCCTTCTAATTTATAGGAGCAATCGCATATAATTACAATTTACCTAATGGACGTATTGTTATCAACGTAGCTGCTCAAATAGAACCCGCTCATTTTCCCTTTCAAACTACCACTGAAATTCATTTTCAAAGTGTACTCTCCTAATGTGATATTTCTGTAACACTTAATCACCACCATTTCACGTTTTCTCACGTGGATAACAGACAGTATACGAATTTCCGTTTGCGATTTTTCCCAGTACAGTTTGGTCGAAGATATTGTTAGATCCTTCGAGTGCAAGACGATCTGATTTTGATCCTTTAATGGAAAATTAGTGTTTTTCTATGGCAAGGGTAATTTGGAAATTTTTAATTTTGAAATAGTGATCTTAAAGTTCATTTGGATCCTTTAATGGAAAATCACTTTTTTCTATGTCGAGGGTAATTTGGAAATTGTTAATTTTAAAGTAGTGATCTTAAATTTCATTTGGATCCTTTAATGGAAAATCACTTTTTTCTATGTCGAGGGTAATTTGGAAATTTTTAATTTTAAAATTGTGGTCTTAAATTTCATTTAGATCCTTTAATGGAAAATCCATTTTGGGGTCAAGGGTAATTTGGAAATTTTCATTTTTGAAATAGTGATCTTAAATTTCATTTGGATCCTTTAATGGAAAATCCATTTTGGGGTCAAGGGTAATTTGGAAATTTTCATTTTTGAAATAGTGATCTTAAATTTCATTTGGATCCTTTAATGGAAAATCAGTGTTTTCTATGTCGAGGGTAATTTGGAAATTTTTAATTTTAAAATTGTGGTCTTAAATTTCATTTGGATCCTTTAATGGAAAATCAGTGTTTTCTATGACAAGGGTAATTTGGAAATTTTTAATTTTGAAATAGTGATCTTAAATTCCATTTGGATCCTTTAATGGAAAATCACTTTTTTCTATGTCGAGGGTAATTTGGAAATTGTTAATTTTGAAATAGTGGTCTTAAATTTCATTTGGATCCTTTAATGGAAAATCAGTGTTTTCTATGACAAGGGTAATTTGGAAATTTTCATTTTTGAAATAGTGATCTTAAATTTCATTTAGATCCTTTAATGGAAAATCCATTTTGGGGTCAAGGGTAATTTGGAAATTTTTTAAACAGTAATTTTACAATTATTAACCTTCAGCAATTCGATGTCTATACGAACAGTACCGTGAAATTCGTCGTTTTTTAAATCAGGCTCGACCACGATAACGTATTTTCGAGGAACCACGTCCACCAGGAGGCGTTTCTCGATCTCCATGGATTCGTTGTAATACGGACTTAAATTATCACGAGAAACCTCGCCGTGGATCACACGAGAATCCTTCGTCTTCATTAAGACTATTGTAATTAAGATAAATCGCCAGCCGGTCATCTCGCTTCCGGAACAAGGTTTCCTTGTTCCAGAGACCGGATTCCTTATCTTGTCAGACCGCAGAAGCTTAACTTGAGAAACGAGTCCCTTTGTTTATTGAAGCCTCAACTGGAAAATGTAAACCTCTTAACCTGTTTCTTCGTAAATAGGGAATTAATTAAAAATCTGACGTTAAATAGTTTCAAAGTAGATGATTTATAATCACAGAGATTGGTTAAGTGTGTCTTTCACGTCAAAATTCTTCAGTCTCCAGACAATGTTGCTTACTTCAGTTTCAAGGAATTGATTAATTTGTCGTATTTCTGTTTTTCAAATTAATAAATTAAAAATTTAAATTCTTTCAATTCTGCATAAATTCGCGGAGGCAAGCATGCTTCGATATTCACGCAGGAAAGATTTCGCGGTCCATACACGAGGAACCGGTGTTCTTCAACTCACTATACCATAGCAAAGTGAAAGTGATCAGAGGAGGAGAGGGTATGAACTGATTTCGAAGCAGCAGGCCAATCGGAGCATTCACTGTACCTCACTGACAGAGAAAATCACTCATGGAAGACAAGGATGAATGGAATTCCTGAACAGAGAGAGGGCAACGTATAATTCTTACATAACCTTGGGAATCAGTTAGTCTACAGTGAATTGCCGTACGTTGCACTTGAGTGTTAGTAAGTTTTAATTCGTCTTTAAAGCAATATCAACGAAGTAATCGAATCTGTGTGAAGAAGAAGAAGAAGAAAAAAAAGATTCTACATTTCCCTTATACTTGCTTTGTTAATAAAAATTATTTTGATATTGTTGCTTCGAAATTTTCACTATAATTCTAAAGCTACAACTTTCTAACAGAACATTTTTCAATTTACAATCATTACTTTAACTGCAAATCAAATTCTTCTTTTTCTTCTTTTTCCAACTAAATTTATCTACATTTTAATAAATATTGTACTCTGTTTCGCATTGAATTATTTTACTGCACTAAAATCAAAGTGACATTTAAAAGATGATTATTACAGTTCTCAGATCACGATGGCGGTCTACAAATTGAGATACTTCAACGTGATGGGATTAGGGGAACCGATCAGGTATCTTCTCAGCTACGGCGGCGTCGAATTCGAGGATATCCGGTTGGAGCATAGTTCGAAAGAATGGGCAAACATGAAACCAAGTATATTCAGGTGTATTCTGTAATTCAGTCGAATCAAGATTTCGGCCGATTTGTAAGTTTATCCGAATGTTTTTCCAGCGACCCCGTTTGGTCAATTGCCCACGTTGGAAATCCACGGGAAAGTTTACTCGCAAACGTTACCTATTTGCCGTTACCTGGCCAAACAGTTTAATCTGCTCGGCAAAACCGATTTGGATACGCTGCAGATCGATGGGATCGCGAACGCTCTTCACGATTTCAGACGGCGTAAATATTGATTTCTTCCCGCTTGAAAATTCGTTCCGTCCGCGAACTTACGCGAGACCGTAAATTTCAACCTTCAATTTTCTCCCTAGATCGATAAGTTTTTCTTATTTTTTTTTTCCAGTGACAATATCGAATTATTATAGAGAGACTGATCCGATCTTGAAAGCGAAGAAAAAGGTCGAAGTAATGACGAACGTGATACCCCTTTATTTGGACAAACTGGAGGACCTGGCGAAAAAAAATGGCGGATATTTGCACGGTGGTCAGGTAAGTGTGTCCAATTGGAACGTCAATTTTGGATGGAATAAACGAACGATAGTTTTGTTAATTTTGTATATTTTTAGTTGAGTTATGCCGATCTATTTTTCGTTGCTATTTCCGACTCGTTGAGTACCGCCTACGAATCTGACATCACGAAGGACAAACCACACTTGAAATCGTTGAAAGAAAAGGTTATGGGGATTCCCAGTATCAAGGTGTGGATAGAGAAAAGACCAAAGTTGGAATTTTAACGAATCATGTGTATTTCTGACGTTTCTGTGACGCGGCATGCTTAAATTTACCTTTGTGTATCGTATACAAGTATTGCAATATTAAAATTCAAATGTTTCTGTTGTTGCGTCATATGGCAGTTTGAATCTGGCGGCACTGTACGTGGCCAGTGTTTAACTTACCAGCTGTTGTTTACAATCACGGTAGAATCACTGGTTAAAACGGTTTATTAAACGAGGCAAGGACACAAAGATTATCGGAAAGGTGTTTAAAATGCAAACAGATTGGTTGTTTAAAATTTCTAATTGATTTCCAAATTTGGAAACGTTCGAAGTTCTCACGTCTGTGGACAGACTAACAAGCGGCCTACTAACCTAGTTGAACGAATCGATCGATGCCGCTATTTTTACGTCGTTTTTCCACGTTTGACAAGAGTTTTTCGAGGAGAAAAACAAACGGATCGATTTCACGGTATCGGAAAATGTCAAATTTTAATTCATTTAAGTGGAAGATCGTCGATTGACCATGGCGGTCAGTGGCGCCTCCACTCGGTGAGCGAGTGGCGGCAGCTGGTGGCGGCGCGGCCAATCAGCGCTCTCGAATGATCGCTGCGCGCGGAGGGCTGCGCGTCCGTCTCCTAGCCTCGGAGCCGTCAGTGTGCGCGCCGCGGAGAGCCAGACAGACAGACATCTTGTAGTAGAATTTAGCGGCGTGGTGTTTTCGACCGTGGGTGTCGGTGTCACGGTTTCGTGTCGCGGTGCTCGTCATTACGGTGTCGTCGCCGTCGCCGTCGTCGTCGTCGTCATCGTCGTCGTCTTCGCCGTCGCCGCCGTCGTCGTCGTGCTCGTACTCCCTGTGTTCACGCCGCGATCGTTGTCGGTTGTCCTTCGCCTCGTCGTCGTCGTCGCCGTCGTCGCCGCCGTCGTCGTGGTCGTCGTCGTCGTCGTCAACGTTAAAGAGTTGTCTTCGTCGTCGTGGTCGTCGTTGTCGTCGTCTTCACGGCTGTCGTTCATCGAAGACTCGATCGTGTTGCTGGTGTGGTGGTACCGCGGTTGCAAGACCCCGTCTTGCGGGCCGTGCAGCTCGCGTGGTCCAGCGATCCAGTTACTCGCCCCGCAAAAGGCGTTGGTGGTACTTTTTGTCGGGCAGAGGGAGAGAGAAAGAAGAGGT